TTCCTATACTCTGATCAAGTGTTTAAAATTTTCTCAAGTCTACATTTGTTGCACAGGAATGAAAAGAAATACAAAGGAACGGTGGATGTATAAAAACGTTTGTGTTGTAATTGTGGGAGTACTGAATTGAAGAATTACAGATATTGATTGGGTGTGTATTGTAGCTCAGCCATAGGGCATATGCATTGAATACATCAGGCACTGGGTTTTATTCCCAGCACCAAGAAAAAAAATTAAAAACTATCAATAGTGATTGTATTAGTAAATGTTTATGAATAAAGAATGAATTAATGATTTTTGGGGGGTGGGGATGAGGTTTGAACTCAGGGCTTTGTGCTTACAAAGCAGGTGCTTTGCTGCTTGAGCCACACCTCCAGTCCATTTTGGTTTGGATGTTTTGGAGATGGTTTCTCCTGAACTCTGTGCCTGGACTGGCCTGGAACCAAGATCCTACTGATCTCAGCCTCCCAAGTAGCTAGGTTTAAAGGTGTGAGCCTCTAGCACTTGGCTGAATTAATGAATTTCTGATGTGTTGTGCTAATTATATCTAGAGGTGGACCACATTTTTATTAAGCCAGATATAAATACATGTAATGTCAAATTGAATTTATTTCTCAATTAATTGACATTTATTAGGTGATTGTTTTAAAGAAAATATGGTAATAGGATTTCCATAATTAATAATTCTTTAATTTAAAATATGATTTAACTCATAAAACAGTTTACAGGAGGTTTTTCCACACATCTCTGTTGTAATAAGGGGCTGGCGGAGTGGCTCAAGTGGTAGAACGCCTGCCTCGCAAGCATGAGGCCCAGAGTTCAAACTGCAGTCCTACCAAAAAAAAAAAAAATCATCTTGTAAATAAGGATGTTATATATATAGAAATAAAAATACTTTTGCTTTCCCTGACAGTGTTGTAAGATTACTTGAAAGATGATACATATGAACATCACTATTTAAAAGTTTTCTTCTAAATTTCCTGAGTTTTGTCTCCTTTTTCTCATTTATTTTATTTAGTGAACTGACATTTTTCTACATTGTAGGCACTGATTTAAAGAATTTAATTCATTTTATCTCTACACCAAGCCAGTGAATTAGTGTTATTATGCTTCCATTCCAGAGAAGGAGCTGAGTCTCAGGGGCAATAGGGAATTTGTCTGTGGTGAAGCTAGGCTTGAACTCAGTCTTGCTCCACGATCTGTGCTTTTAACATGCTGCCTCCCTGCTTTTGTTAGGACAGTGAGAATATTGAACTTGCGTTACCAAAGTAATAGATCTTGTCATTCATTGAGTATGTACTATGTACAAGGGTGCGGAAGGTGCCTCCAGAAGGCCTTGGCGAGTAGGCTTTTTTTGAACTAAGTTAACGAACCCTATACATTAATTGTTTGTCCTTACTATAGTTACTGAAAAAATGTAAAAATATAGCAAGGATAAGAAAATGGAGGTTGTAAATAGCCAAGAATATGAGCTTGGGAATCAGACCTGAATGTGAACCTTGGTGCTACTGTTTAAGTTTCATTTTTCTTGTCTGTAAAATAGGGATAATAGTAACTAGTTCATAGATTTGTTAAGAGATTTAAATAGGATTATGTGTTCAGGTTAGTGCCTAGCATAAAAGTGTCCAAATAACCCATAAACAGTTATTAAAATCTACACAATCCTCACCAATCATGTCTATTGTGACGTACATAGAAGCTGTCTTATTTAATATGGTTAGGACTGGTGGTATTCAGTTTAATAAAAATTAATATCAGGGGAATAAAAATATTTTGCCTTAAGTATTTTGCTTTAGGCTGTTTTTTTTTTTTTTTTTGGGTGGTCCTGGGGTTTGAACTCAGGGCCTCAAGCTTGCTAGGTAGGTGCTCTTCTTCTTGAGCCATCTACCTGCTTTATTTTGCTTTAAAAAGCATAAATGTAAAGCAGTATGAGTATATGATCCATCTAGAGTTGTATGATTTTTTCCCCCCCAATCTTTTTTTTTTTCTTTTTGTGGTACCTAGGGTTTGAACTCAGGGCCTATAAACCTTGAATCATTCCACCAACCCTTTTTTTGTGGTGGTTATTTTCAAGATAGGATCTCATGACTATTCATCCAGGACTGGCTTTGAACCAAGATTGTCCTGATCTTTGCCTCCTGACAAGGTAGGATTATAGATAGGTGTGAGCCACTAGCGCCAGTTTACCCCTAATCTTTCACAGTTGATATATTACTAGTACTTAATTTAATAAGTTTTCGTTTTTAAGTATCTAGCCTTTGAATCTTGCTAGAGTCTTTCTTATTATTTGACTTCCTTTCTATGAAAAAACCAATTTTCTTTTCACATACAGTCTCATTGGTTTACTTACTATTTAAGTGATTATATACAAGTGCATAAACCTACTAATTCTTGATGACTTGATGGGAGCAAAAGTGCTGGTTTTACTAAAAAAATAAGCTTAACTAGTGGTGCGTGTTCAGTAATTTATTGGAAGGCTTTATGGAGAGAGAATGGAGAGTTGGTGAATATGCCACATTTGTTTGTTAAGGAGATTGGAAAAGAGAAGATATTATCTTGCCTTCTAGTGTCTTTGCAAGATGCATATAAAGGCTGCGTAGTCATGTTGTCTCTATTTCGTTTCAGCCTCCTTGTGTTTTTTGTCTGTTTTGAATGCCTGTGTTTTATCTTTGTGTTCTGGTTTCTTTGGAATGTAAATAGTTTTAGGTTAGATCTTCATTCTCAGTGTCTTCCTTTGTTATTTTCCTTTGCATTTTAGTAGAGCTTCTCAGGTTTGACCTGCATACATATCAACAGTTCTGTTCTTTACCATCCTCCAAGACCAGTTAAAACATTTTACATTTCATGAGTATTTTAATTCTACGTTTAAATATCAATTGTTAAATGTAAAAATGATAAAATAAAATATTTCAGTTACTTTGGTAATCCTTAATCTCCATCATTCTTGTTTTGTACCTCAGCTGGGTCTCCTTTGACTTTCTGTTCGTTTCATAAAGGCATGTCTTTTGTCAGTTTCAGACTGTAACTTGGAAGGATAGAGAATATTTGAGTGTCTCCCATATTTCGGAAACTTCACTTTTTTTGATCCCCAAGGCCTTAAACCCGATTGACTTCCCTTTCATTCATTTCCCTTTCTTTCCACATCACAATCTCATTGGTTTAATTAATATTTAATTAACTGATTATTACAAGTTCTTTACTGCTGAGCTACACTCCCTGCTCTCACTTCAGTTTTAAACTTCACAGTAACCATGGTAGGTCATATCCTGATTTTACAGATGAAGAAACTGAGGCTCAGCAGTGCGAAGGATCTTATCGAGTCACACAGTGGGTGGAGTTGGGATTTTATGTGGCTCCTTTAGTTGCTTCCAAACCCTCTTGCTGCTTCCACATGGCTTACATGTTCTCATCATATAGCATTTTTTGTGTAAATGTGTACACTGGAATTTTCTGGTTTGGACCATCTTTTTTTTTTTTTAAACCCTCATATTCTTCATACCCCTCACTTGTCATAGAGTTCTGATCAATACTTGAGTAAGCCTGAGTGATGCATTTGTATGTATCATATCTATTTTTCAGTAGAATGAGAACATATTTGTCTACTTTAAATAAATAGTATGGAAAATGTGTTCACTCTAGGAGAACTAATTTGGGAGTTTAATATACATGGTTAGAAAACTGATGCTGAAGTTTCTGGAGTAAAATAAAAAGTAGGAATTTTCAGTGTGATTTTTATTAAGTTTTAGACTTATCTGAATAGGCTGTGAATCTCAGTGGCTTAAAACAAAAAAAGTTTAGTTTTGGTCACGTTATATGTTCATTCATGAAGGATACTACCTCCAGGTGCAAGAAATTCCTCAGGGTCATGCCTGAGTAAACCTTCCTACTCTGGGCAAATTAGCCAACAACCAATCACTATGGTATGAAATTTTAGTATACATTGCATAATTTTAGAATACATAACTAATCTACCTTTTCTCAAATCACAGGATAAGATTGTATAATGTTTGGGAGAAGGATTGAGTATTTGTATCATTTAAGAGTTCAGTCAAGGAAGTAGAGCTATGATATCATGGAATGAGGGATTTAGGAATGGAGTAAGACTGTACACAATTGTGTGAGAACTCAGAAACCAGAAGTATGTAAGGGCAGATCAGACAAAAGTCACTAACAAGCTTTTCTGAAACAGTGGTGCAGTGGGCAAGTTTGTTAGGTGAGTCTAGAAGCCAAACATGCGCAGCTGCTGGAGTGGGGCCACACATTGGAGCTGTGTGGAGAAAGTCTAGAGAGCTGTCACTTCTGCACGGTTACCTCTTCCATGGTCCTCAGTCAAGCTTTTGATGTTGGATCTGAAGTTGTTGCTTGGCAAACAGGGTTGGCAATCAGGAAAAACTGCTGTGTGCAGAACAGGGGAAAGCAGAGATACGGAAGAATTTGCTGGCATCTCTGCATCTCTGACTATGATCATTAGATAATTTTCTCTTTTGGCCAGCTCTACCCTTGAATAGGATTTTAGGTAATGTCTGAATTTAACCAGGTTGACACAGTGAAAACTACCATAGTAGCTGAGAGAAAAAAAAATACAATGGGGCATTTTAACATTGTGAGATCGACTGTGACATTTTATAGACCTGGCCCATACTCATCTGAAAGAGCAAGTTGCTTAAGTTTTCCTTATTTGTTTCCCCTTCCGTGAAGTAGGGAGATTATATTTACCTTATGGAGTTGTTGTGAAGATAAATGAAATGCTTAAATCACTTAGCAGACTACCAGGACAATGCAAACCATTATAAATAGTAGCTTTTATTATCAGTAATAATTGGTATTAATTATGGTAGTAAAGAGAAGAGCTCAAGACATAGGGTACGTTTTGTCTTTTTTTTGTGCTGCTGGGGCTTGAACTCAGGGTTTACACCTTGAGCCACTCCACAAGCCTCCTCCCCTTCCCTTTTTTTTTTTTTTTTTATGAAGGGTTTTTTTTTGAGATAGGGTCTTGCAAACTTACCTGGGTTGGCTTCAAACCACAGTCCTCCTGATCTCTGCCTCCCGAGTAGCTAGGATTACAGGTGTCAGCCACTAGCGTGCAGCCAAAGGGTACATTTCGGAAGGAGAGGGAGAGGTGGAAAGAACAGTGGAGATAAGAATATAATATGTAGTTCTCATATTTGGTGATATTGCAGTCTAGTTGCAGAGACCACATGTAAACATATGGAGCATAACTATGGTTAGGAAGCTGTTTTATGAGATAATACCCTTTAAGAAAGATGACTCTTTGCCATGATAAAATAGATTGTAAGTGCTGTCATTCCAGTGTAAGGGTTAAGTGATACAGGATGTGAAATGTCTAATATGCTGTCTGACAGTGCATAGATGATAATTCTTTTCTACTATCATTTATAGATTGAAAGATGACTAAATGAAGAGGATAGGGAGACTTGAACTAGGTCCTTAAAATGTTTTGGACAAGTAGAAAAAAGCACTTCGGACAGCACAGAGACAAAAGGTAGGCATCAGCAGGACACATGCAGCCTTTCATAGCATAGCTACCTGTTGGCTCCTATTCTTTGCTTCTTTTGGTTATCTATTTGTAATTTCTAGATTTTGTTGATGTTTAATCTTGCTTGGGTTAATTGTCTACCTCTGACCCATCAGTTACGGCCAAGGATATGGACGCACATTTACTGATTTGACACTGTCTGTAATCAGGTGGGTATTTGGAGGGAGGCAGTAGAAGGGACAAGTTTCCAGAAGTTATTTCTGGGAACACTGTGGATGAATAATGCAATCATTCCCTTTTATGTGCTATAGTTGTTCAAAGATTGTAAATCTACCCTGTTCCTATCATTTCCCAAAATTAAGCCTTTTTTTTGTTTTATGTAAATAATATTTGCTTAAGTTTGCTACAGTTACCAACTTCTTTTTATCTTATGTTCTTTTGGAATCACTTTCCTTCCTTTTTGAAGTATATCTTTTAGAAGTTTCTCACATAAAGATTGGTGGTAATCTTTTTGTTTTGTGAGATAGGCTGTCACTACGTAGTCCATGCTGGCCACGAACTCAAATGCAGCCCAGACTAGCCCTAAATTTGTGATTCTCCTGCCTCAGCCTCCCAAGGGCCAGGATTACAGGTGTGTGCCATCAGGCCTGGCTACTGTTTTACTCTTAAAGTTCATTGAACATTTGTTGAAAATCTATGTAGTGTCCAAGAATATGAGTAAGTAAGCAATTTGTAATCTAGTTTTAGGTCACATAAATTATTACCAGAATGTTTGACTACTTCCCTATTATAGCACTGAAGATAAACAGATAATAATCATTATTTCAGTGATCATAGAGCTTCATTCTGGTGGGTGAGACAGACATATAGGTGACCACATAATGTATTAGGCAAACTAGGATACTTTTGAATGTGAAAGGAGCTGTTCTAATAATTATTTTGGGCATATATTGGTTTCATGGTTGTATACTTATACTGAGCTCTGGTCATTTGTCTTATTACACATTAACTATGTATAGCTTTTTGCACATCAGCCATACCTCAAAGTGTTTTTTTTTTAATTATCCTAAGTTAAAAAAATACCAAACCAGAACTGTCTTTAGCAAACTGGAATGTATGGCTTTCCCTACATACATAAAAATGAGTGTGAAACCGAAATATTTACAAAGTAGACATAGGAATATTTAATATAAAATAGTATAGATAATCTAAAAATGCATTATAAATGTAAAATGATTAGTAGGAGCATAATATTCAAATATTGAAACTGTGTTTAAGTAGTAATGAAAAATTGTACTATGGGTCTTTCAGGAATGAAGTATGTCTAGGTATCAGTTAGCCCAATGAAAGCTAGATATAAATCGACAAAAGCCTTAGTTTGGCCAAAAAATAAATTCCAAATTGGATCGTTGGGAGACCATACCTAGAAATGGGATGCAAAGTGCTCAGAGTGGCAGTGAAGCTAATTTGAGCCAGTTCCTTGAATAATCTGTTTCAAGGTGCATGTTAGGAGTAACGATTGCCAAAGAGGAGAGTTAGGGGTATTCAGGGAATGGTAGAAACCACGGCCTAGGAAGTAGGATGCAACAAGTCCTTGGGAAAGCAGGTATTATTTATGGTGGTAACAAGAGTGAAATTTGAGGTTTGTTTATTTAAGGTGTTTGTTGATGAGCTAGCTATGTGCAAAGTGCTCCTAGATACTTCAGGAGAATAAAGGTATGCAAGTTATATAAATAATGTTTCCTGCCTTCAAGGAGCTTACATAATGAAGACAGCTACAACCACTGAGCATGGATTGAAGTGGATTGATTTGGTAAGACTTGATTAGCCTTGGGGTTTTTATTAGAATTTGAGGTTTTAGCATGTCCTGAGTTTTGATTGAGCAGAACTGTATTTGATATTATTTGGGAGTTGTCATTTATATGATAAACAATAGAAAGTATTAAACTGCTCAGCAAAATATGTGTGTGCTCAATATAAACCTATTTTAATGGCAGCCCTTGTCATTGTTTTATTATCCCAGTAATTTAGGCATAAGTATTGTTTACACTATTAAGTTTAGAAAGGTTTTTAGATTTTTTTTTTTTTTTTGAGTTACTGGGGTTTGAATTCAGGGCCTACACTTTCAGCCATTTTACCAGCCCTTTTTTTGGGAAGGGTTTTTTCGAGATAGGGTCTCATGAGCTGTTTGCCTGGGCTGGTTTCAAACTGTGATCTTCCTGATCTCTGCCTCCTGAGTAGTTAGGATTACAGGTGTGAGCCACCAGTGCCTGGCTAGAATTTTTTTAAAAACATTAATTTTTTCTTTTTTCCTGTAGTGAGGGTTGAATCCAGGGCCTCATGCTTGCTAGGCAAGTGGTCTACCACTTGAGCCACACCCCCAGACTGTCATTTTTAAATTCAGGAAATCAGCATATTGGTAGACAGTATGCATGTGTTAAGTATTGGTGGAACAAACAGATAAGTGAATGAGTAGCAGTAAAATAGTTATTAAGAGTGGGTTCTGAACAAGATTGGGTTCAAATGCTGAACTTCATAATTGTTAGCTTTGTGTGTGTATGTGTGTGTTCATTATGCTCTGATTCTTTAAATGCATTATAAATAATAATTCTTTTTATTCTTACAGTAATCATACAAACTGTAAAATAGTTATCTCCATTTTACAGAGGAGGAAACAGACACTGAGAACCATTTTATAATTGCTGGCAATGAACATCTGAGTGTTTTTAGTAAACCATTTTGATGAATAGCTTTTTTCCAATTCTGATAGAAACACTTGGAGACAACAGTCAGGATTCATATACCATATATATCAGCCGAAAGTGATTTGACAGTTTTTTAAAGATCCTAAATTTGTTAGAGTACTGATTTAAGAGGAGCTATCCTTCTCCTCTAAGGTAATATCATAAAATGTAGAAAAATTAAGATTTGTAAGCATACAACAAATTCTTCAGCATTCTCAGTATGGTTTAAGAACTAAAAGGAGGAGGGCCTCCTAAGTATATGTCTTTGTTTTGTGCTTCTCTAACAGCATGCCATAGACTGGGTACTTTATAAAGAACTGGGATTTGTTTCTTACAGTTCTGGAGGTTGGGAAGTCCAGGCCAAGGGGTTGTGTCTGGTGAGGGCCTTTGTTTCCACCACTTGTAACATGGTGGAAAACATTATATGGGCAGACAGAGCAATAGATGGACTTTTATTATTAGTATTACTCTCTTCATGAAGGCAGAGCCTTCATGGCCTAATCACCTCTCAAAATTTCCACCACTTTAATACTGTTGTATTGGGGATTAAGTTTTCAAGACATGTTTTTTTGAGGACACATTCAAAACCGTACCAAAACATAATTTTGCTTAACAAACATTTTCATAATTATTACTATATGCCAAATTTCTAAGCACTTTACAAATACTAACTTCTTTGATTTCCCATAGTAATCTGGAGATTGTATTATACATAAATCTCCATATTATACATAGGAAACTAAGCAAAGAGATATATATTAAGTTATTTGCCTAAGGTCACACACCTGGTAGATGGCAGATGCATATTTCAAACCCAAGCAGTTTGGTTCCACAATCTAAGCTCCTAACAACTATGCTTGCTGTCTTTATTTTGGTGGGGATCATGACACATTGAGAGAGGAAATGGGGATGAGTAAGAAGGAATGTTATGAATTAAAAATAGTTTTTTTTTTTCCTGTGTAATACCTAAAAAAGGAGAAAATCAGAATTTGCTAGAGTTTAATATGTCTTTAACCCTGAACTGTTTGGAAAAAGAGAAGGCAACTGAAATTTATTAACTCCTGTTCTCTGTCGGGTATGGTGTGTGTGTGTATGCGTGAATGTGTTATTCAACATTTAAAGCAAACCTGAGATATAGCCTCTTCTATCTTTATTTCATATTCAGGACATCAGTTTGTAACAGCCCAACTACTGTCAAGTTTTGAACATTTTCATGTTCTATAACAATATGCATGCTAATAAAATGTAAAAACTCAAATTTGATTTGCCAAATAAATTACATATTCTTCTGAAATATCAATAAAAGGAATTATAAATCTTTACAGACTTGATAAGAGACAGAAAGCAATATATCCTACATGTAATGATTATCAGGACCATAGATGAAAATTAGATTTTTCCCTGCCTTTCTGAGGATGAGCAGGCCTATTTACAAATGATACCACTTTATCTGAGTATGATCATTCAGCCAGTTGGAGATTACAGATGAGGTATGGCTATTAAGTTATTAAAACTTAAGCAAATTTATTGCATCTACCAAAGTTTTACTGCCTTTACTCATTCCAGGAGGCTATCTATGTATTGTTGCTATTATGTATATTACTGCTTTAGGTGTTTTGGAAACGTTAAAAATCTCTTTAAATTTGAATTTTATATGATTTAGAGTAGATAATATGGTAGAGAGCTCAAAGTGTTTTTTATAAAAGATATACAATGAGAGTTCTTGAGACTTCTTTACCCCCACCACCCAGTTCTTTTCAGCCAGAGGTGACCAATATTAATAGAGAAGGAAATACTTTGAAATTGTCTTCAGGTACTTTTTTTTGTTTGTGGCACTGGGGTTTGAACACATGGCCTCACACTTGCAAGGCAGGTGCTCTGCTCTACCATGTGGTAGAGCCATTCTGTCAGCTTCAGGTACTTTTAACATGTGCAGTTAGGATGTATCTAACCAATGAAGGCAGATGTGATTTTGTGAGGTAAGTAGGTGCTCTACCACTACTGAGCCACTCCTCCTGATTTGATTTTTTTTTTTTTTGGCAGTACTGGGGTTTGAACTCAGGGCCTACACCTTGAGCTACTCGACCAGCTCTTTTTTTATGAAGGGTTTTTTCAAGATAAGATCTCATGAACTATTTGCTGTGGCTGGCTTCAAATTGTTATCCTCCTGAGTAACTAGGATTACAGGTGTGAGCCACTGGTTCCTAGTCTGATTTGATATTTAAGAAGTATGAATTCATTTACAGTCTGCCAAATAAAGGGATCACCAGTTTAGCTAATGTCTTTTTTAAAAATCAAAAGCAAACTGCCTGTAAGGTAGCAAAACTTGTGATAACTGTTCATGAGTTAGCCTCAAGTCAGTGGTTAGAGTTGTGGAGCTAGTAGCATTAAGGAATTAATTTTCTTATAACGATTTATATAATTTGTATACAACAAACTTTACATGTAAAGTATACATTTTATTAAATTTTGATATTTGTATTTACCTGTGCAAACCACATGCATCTTCAGGTAGTGAGCTTCTGTCACCTCCAGAAGGTTGCTCAGGCTTTTTTACAACCCACTGCTATCCATTGTTCCCAATGATTTGCTTCCTGTTATCAGAAATTAGCTTGCATTTTCTAGAATTTTATATAAATAGAGACAGACAGTATATATATGCTCCTATTTTGGGGGGTGGGGGAGAGTCTGGTTTCTTTCACTCAGCATAATAATAATAAGAATTTTTTTGGAGCTGGAAATTGAACATAGGGGCCTCATGCATCCATGCATGTGCTGTACCATTGAGCCACACCCCAGACCCTGCATTCATTTGTCTCTATTGTTCGCATGGATCAGTAGTTCATTCTTTCTTATTGCTGAGTATTTTTATTCCATTGTATAGATAGACCACAGATTTGTTTAACAGTTTACCCAGCAATGGACATTTGGGTTTCCAGTTTGGGGTGATTACAAATGAATCTGCTAAGAACATTGGTGGTTTTGTGATGTAGGTTTTCATAGGTTTTTTTCACTGACCTAAAAGTGCACTGTGGTCTACCTGTTCATCCCTCCCTTATACCCTTCCTCTGAAAGCCTGACAGCCACTGATTTTCTTCTGAGTGCTGTGGTTTACAGGCGTGTACCACCATGCCTGGCCTAAGATAGTTTTTAAAGATTCTTCTCTCTGAATACAGATGTCCTATGTTTTGTCATCATCATCATCACAGTGCTAGGGATTGACTTGAGGGTCTTACACATGCTAGGCAGGTGCACTGCCACTAAGCCACATCCCCAGTTCTCCCACTGTTTTGTTTTGTTTTTAACTCCCATCCCTCCTACCACTGATCTTTCAATGTTTCTGAATGGTGCATAGTTGGAATCATACAATATGTAGCCATTTGAGATTGGTTGCTTTCACAAGCAATAAGCATCAGAAGTTCCTCCATGTCTTTTTGTGGCATAATAGCTTGTTTCTTTTTTGTTTCCTGAAAAATACTCCATTGTATGATGTGCCTTATGAACATAAGGAGTGTTTCTAAGTCTAAAACTGTTCATAGTAGGTTGAAGAAGCATCAATCACAGAGTTCTTTCATAGAATGGAATATTGTTTATCCATTCACCTACTGAAAGACATCTTGGTTGGTTCCATGTTTTGGCAACTTTGCATTACCTATGCCTGCTGCATAACTCTAGCACCTTTTTAAAAAAAATCAATTGACTGTGTCATATGGGTCTTGTTTCTAAATAATCTGTGCTGTTCCATTGCCCATATTTATCTTTATGTCAGGACCACATGCCTTGATTGTTACAGCTTTATAGTGACTCTTGGAGTTAGGTAATATAAGTCTCCAACTTGTTTTTCAAAAATTGTTTTAGAATTTCTCCATCCTTTGCATTTCCATATAAATTTTACATTCTTCTGTTTTTATAAAATAGCCTGTCCGGATACTTATTGTGATTTCGTTGAATCTGTTTGTCAATTTGGAGTGACAACAGTATTCTGATCCATGAAAATGTTTGTTTCACTTTTATAGGTCTTTTTTTGGGCGGGTGGGTGGGACTGAGGTTTGAACTCAGGGCTTTATGC